ATCTCTTTCAAAAAAAACTTAAGCTGATTGCGTTTGTATCTTAGAATTTAATTCATGGTCGCGTTAAATTAATATTTGCTTACAAAATTAATTCTTGAGGCAGCCCTAAGGAGCCGGTGGTGTGGGGATTTTTTTAAAGGATTAGAAAAAGAAAATATAAATTACGCTAGACGCCGAGATATCACAGGAGAATTAATCATGAAAGATTTTCCTGCTGATTTAAAATGCAAATTCTCTAATAAATGGACGGCAAAAAAAATTCCAAGCCTTATACCACTTCTTATTCGAGAGGATTAATTTAAGAAAAAAGAAACTGATTAAGCGACTCAAGGAACTGTTTATCTTATTCCAAATAACGTCGGCCGCTCCTTTCTCTCATCTTTTTAAGATTAATCTTAAATGATAGAAAAGAAGTTAAATTTATATCAACGTAGACGTAACTATAACAAATAAATTTTAATTATTATTATTGAAAGCGAAACGTTTTCGTATTAGAGAACTGGTTCAGTTTAATTTTAATATTTTTTTAGTCGTTAGACATAGATTCGCATATCACTATTTTATGTTACTATATTGGAAATTTCAATAATTTCAAATGGTTCTGCGAAGGTCTTCGCCGGCAACCACCTTTTTTAATTTTATTATCGATGCTCAGGGGCGGCCTTTGGGGGTGGCGAACAGGGCAACCGCCTGGGGCCTCGCTCTTGCAGGGGCCTCGCACACTCGTGCAACAATCTAATTAGAAAAATATTAGGTAGTAATAGTATATACTACTAATATTTATGTGAATTTCTTAATAGTCTTAGAAGACGCAAATTTACTATCTTTGTCTTTATCAATTTTTTTTAATTTTCGACAAACAATTTTAAAACTGTAAACTTATTTATAAATCACTTTGCATTCTTTAAATATCATCATTAAAATTAATTTCACATAGACGAGGGTCTCGCAAAAATTTACCCGCCCGGAACCTTCCAATGACTAAGGCCGCCCCTGTGGATGCTCTTTAATTGTATGCAGTTTACAGGAACTGCATAGCTCGAAGCAGAGTCATAACTTATTGGGTTTTTCCCCTTATTGGCTTCTGGCTCGTACTCTTTTTGTTGCATACCAGGTATTGGTGGTGGCAGCAGAACATTTTTCGATTTTGTCACATAATTTAGAGTTAGTTACGTTTTGACCCTCTTGATATTTTTTTCGTTGTGCCTGTAGTTGTAAACCGTTATTTCATAGTTAATAATTCGTTTGTATAACCTTTTTGACTTTAAGTATGAATAACATATTTACCACAAAATTCGATAATAAAAAAAGGAGTAGTGAAGGCTACATTTAAAAATAACAGTTGTAAAATAATAAAAAAACCTACCTACAACACATAGAAGAGTGATACTTAGTTTGTATATAGAGCAACAGGCAGTTATAGAGCTGGGGATGCAAAGTAGAGAAGTAAATATTAGGAAGGGAGTCAGGCAGGGATGCACACTGTCACCGATACTTTTTAATCTATACATCGAAGACGCCATCAACATCATTAAAGACAGTACAACTGTAGGGATAGACGTGCAAGGGCAGAAAATTAGTATGTTTAGATTTGTAGATGATATAGCAGTATTAGCATCTAGCAAGGAGGACCTAGACATAGCTTTAAATAAAATGGAAGCGGTACTGACAGATCAGGACTGTATGAAAATAAATAAAAGTAAAACAAAAATACTGGTATGCAAGGGAAGAAAAAGTAGGGAAAGAGCGAATATAAAAATAAGAGACGAAAAATTAGAAGAATTGGTCTATTTTAGGTATCTAGGAAGACAGATAAGTCAGGACGGAAGGAGTAGTAGGAATATAAAGCAGTGATAGCGCAAGGTCGAGTCGCCTTTAATAAAAAGAAGTCACTTCTATGCTCGCGAACGGTTTATTTAGAGATTCTAAAAAGATTAGTTCAAAATGTGGAGTTAGAGGCGAATGATAAGGATACCGTGGATAGAGAAGGTTAGAAATGAAGAGGTATTAGAAAGACTTGGAGAACAGAGGACTCTATGGAAGTCAATAAGAAATAGGCGAGATAGGTTGGTAGGATACCTTCTCAGGCATGAAGGTCTAGTCAGAAACAGAAACGGGAGTTAGGAGGGGTAGAGGTAGACCTAGATTAGGTTATTTTCCGCAAATAGTTAGGGATGTGGGATGTTCTAGTTTTAGGGAAATGCGAAATGCTCAGGACAGGAAAAAGTGGAGGTGCGTGTCCAACTAGTCTTAAGATTGACGATTCATGATGATGAACCCTTAATAGTAATAACAATTGTTAAAAATGATAAGTTTTCATATGGTATCTGATAATATACAGTTTATAACAATGTCTAGATAACGATCGCGTTCTTTGGTTGGACATCAACAATTTCGACAGGACTGCCGCAGACACAATGTTGTACAATGTCGATGAGGCTCAGAATCTTATCATATTTATTGGAGACGGCATGGGACCAGAAACGATTACTGCCACAAGAATATACAGCAAATCTGAAGACAAATATTTGTTCTTCGAACGTTTTCCTTTCGTCGGAAAATTAAAGGTAATGGGGGAAATATGTGGAGGACGGTGGGTGGCTCACCGCGGGCTTCTGGTCCAGGTGGGAATCTCACAACTTCCAAAAGTTATTTTAAATCAATTCCCAAACAAGACCAAAATACGTTCAATAAGTATTGGGATCCGTCAAATGGGAGGAGCCTAAAAACATGGCGCCGATTAGGGAAAATTTATCGTAGTTCCTATAGTGTACCGTGCAATTTCCAAGTTTTTAAATTACGATAAAATGATAAGTATTGACACAATATGTGATTGGGCTGACACAAAGCCTCGGAAAGGAAATTTNGTTAATTGTTACAATATACAATAATGTCGCGTCTGGTGACTTGGTCTCACCATTTAAGGAAATCTGAAACTCTGGTTTTTGGGAAAAATTTATTTTCACGCAGTTTGAAAAGAAACAGCAAAAAGAAAACTCAAAGAATAGCTTTTTATCAAAAATTAGGTTAAACATTGCCCAACTTTTGGGAAAATCATTTTTATGCACTTTTAATTGAAAATAATAGGCATTAGGCAGCACTCAATACTAAAATATGCAACCCAACATACGCCTTCTACATCTACGATGCACAATTGTAATTGGTCCTGATGTTAACACTAAAATTCAAATTGAATTACAGGATTTGTAACTAATGCCAGGGTAACAAGTGAAACTGTAGCCTCCATATATGCTCACGTAGCCAATACAAAATGGGAATGTGACGCATTTATGCCCAACAAAAGTACCATGTGCAAAGATATTGCACGACAGTTAATTGAGGATGTTCCAGGAAAGAATATAAAAGTAGGACAATTTTAAGTGACCACAACTTCAGTTTAGCTCTTGTTTCATTAATATTTTCTACCGTTTGTATTAAGCATATTAATTTTTTAATTAGCCAGGCTAATTAGGTTGTAATCCTATTAGGTAATTCTATTTGCAAAACATATTTAAGGTTATCATGGGAGGTGGTATGCAATGCTTAAAATCGGATGCGAGCGGCTCTTTTGACGACCCGATTGATAAAAATGCATGTTACAGCGTTGATGGAAGAGATCTAATACGGGATTGGACGCTTGATAAAGAAAAACGACATGTTAACTACGCTGTTGTAACGAACACATGGGAATTACAAAAGCTATCGCACGTTGACTATCTTTTAGGTAAATGTATGTTACAACTGATGCTTATGTATATCACCACCCAAAATTAAACTTAAACGCCAAAAACCAAATAAAATTTAACCCAAAACTTTACACTTTCGTTACGCCACTGGACATTTATGCTTATACTTCGCTAAGTATACTATTGGTGTGCATGTGAGTTGCTTTAGGAATTTTGAAAGAAAATGTTTCAATTGCAGTAATTGTTCTTTCTATATCTTTACATTATGTACGCAACGCAAAAAAAGGGTAACATTTACCAAATCTACATATTCATTTAAACCAAAGATTAAGTAACAATGATTATCCTTTTTAAGGAATATTTTCTAACAGTAACTTCAATTATGAATATCAAAGGGACACTTCTCCCTACGGTATGCCCTCACTATCTGCAATGGCGGAGAAAGCGTTAGAAATTTTGGATTCGAACCCAAATGGGTTTTTCTTAGTAGTAAGTTTTTACCATTTTAATCCTGATAAACATTTAAATGATTCCTTTTGGTAGTTGCTTCCTAACGTTTCGCTAGCACGAGTGGGAAGCTTCTTCAAAAGTCTTTCCATTCCCGGTGCTGCATGCGAACTGAGAAGATGGAAGGACTTCAGAAGAAGTTCGCCACTAAGGTTAGCGAAACGTTAGGGAACAACTCCAACCGACAACGGCCCTTAGACCCGAATCAGAACAGCATATGTGCGCCTACTGGCCACGAAAGCCTGTACCAAATTGATCCTATTCAATATCCTAGGTAGAGGGTGGTTTAATTAACCAAGCCCACCACGAGGGACATGCCAAAATAGCATTAGAAGAAACAGTAGCACTTAACGCGGCTATCGAAAAAATTGTAACTATTTTGGAAGAAGCTGAGAAGTTAAAGGATACTTTAATTATTGTGACAGCCGACCATGCAACTTCAATGGTTATAAACGGATACCCGCACAGACATTCAAGTATTTTAGGTACTAATTTAAGAAAATTACTTTTGTACGTAATAAATCAATAAAACAAATACGTTTAAGGAGACATTAGCTACCGGTAATACAATATTATTTTATATTATAGGATTATCCCAACCTGTGGGCTATGATAACGCCAATTATACTACCCTTACCTACGCCACTGGCGGGCCCCATAACTACCAATTTTATGCCGACAATTCAATGGGAAATTTAAGTGTACTTCTCAATCCAATGTTTAATAGAACATACCTTGTAGCAGAAAACAAAACTATCCACTGTCCAGCACAAAAAATCCTGAGGATGGATCCTAGCAAACAGGATACGGAAGACTACACGTACTATCAACAGGCCGGCATTTTAACCGACCAAGTAACACACGCGGGCACGGATGTTAACGTTTACGCTATTGGTAAGCTGAAATAACGAAATTTACACATAATCACAGTCATCAGTTTGCATTAAAACATAAACACTACTTTACTATCACATTCAAAGAGAACTTCTAAGAAAATTAATTTTCACACGCAACCACGAAACAGACAATACGACGCCATAATGGTTTTTAGATCATTTAAGTTCGGCGCTTGCGCAAAATCGTAGTCAGTTGTTATGTAGTACTACTTTAATAGAAGGTAGACAACCCAAATAGCTCTTATTCATAAATTTCCTCTAGATGTTGCATTAAAAAGTAATTCGTACGTTTTTTTCATGACTTCAACTCATCGAAGTATATATGTAAATCAGAAACTATCACAATTCAATTTAATATGTTTTTACTATATTTAATTTACTATACTAATTTTAAATTCAGTTTTCTTAAATTACTTTTCTTTGAATGGTGGTATTGTTATGCAACCATGTTCGCAACATGCACAGGGTTGGATTAAGGATCTTAACCGGCCTACATCTACAAAAAGTAGCTGCTCTTTTATGATGCAATAGTACCAAAAATTTAATAAATTTATGTGGAAAGCAGTTTAATTTATATAAAAAGCAACGTAATGGGTTATGCGATTATATAATTCTGGATTCTTTTTAAATTTTTAGGTCCAATGGCCCATCTCCTTCATGGTACACATGAACAAACCTACCTTTATTATTTTATTGGTTTTGCTACAAATGTGGGCCCAATTAAAAAAGTTACCGATTACCTTGATTCCGTATTTTTATAATATTTTCATAATGTATTATCAATAATAAAAGACATAATTGTATTAAAGCCTTTATTTGCAATTAAAATTTAGCATCTACTTCACCACTTATTACAGATAGTTGATTGTATATGATAATTAAAAAACGGGCGTTAATAGGGGTTTCCCCTGAAGACCAAGAATAATATTGTCCGCTGCTAATTCTGCCAACTGCTTGCGGACACTAATTGTGGCACTGCCAATGTGGGGAGTTAATACTAGTAATCAAAATAAAACAATTTAATAAATTAGCCCATCACAATATGCCAATATCATTTTGGTACACTTACCACAGTTTGGAAGTTTTAACAGTTCACTATCTGTGGGTAACGGTTCCGGAACCATAACGTCTAACCCAGCGGCAAAAATGGTACCATCCTTCAAGGCCTCTATTAAAGCATCTTGGTCTACAATAAGACCTCTCGCAATATTTACGAACACAGAACTGTTTTTCATCAAAGAAAATGTAGTCCTATTGAACATATGCCTTGTTTCGTCAGTTAAAGGTGCCGCTACAATGACGAAGTCACTTTCTCGAAGAAGTGTCTTGAATGATACAAATTCTGCGCCTAATTGTTTTCCTGAATGACAACAATTAAATTAGCAATTGTTTGTTTTTATTTTTTTATTTATATTGTTATACCTTCCGATTTTTCACGGTGGCCCGAGTACAGAAGTCTGCCAATGTCAAAAGCCTTCAACCTTTTGGCAATGGCTTGTCCAATTCCTCCAAGTCCAACAATACCAACGGTTGAATTTTCCAAGTCCGTCCCTAGCAAATACTGAACACCAACCCCACTCCATATACCCCTAAAATTACACTACCATGACGCTTAAAGCAATTTTTAACTTTTGTTAATTTACTTTTCAATATGCATTCTGCCTTCTTGCAATCGTCTAGATGCAGCCAATGTTAAAAGAATAGCCACATCTGCAACCGCCTTATTCAGGAGTTTTGGTGTGTTTGCTAATTTAATATTACGTTTTCTTACAGCTTCTAAATCAATATGATCGGTGCCTGCGTTCATTGTTACTATAATTTTCAATTTTGGTCCTGAAATGGTTTATTTATTATATCCACGCGCGTTTCTAATATTTCCTGAACACGGACCTGCCGCATTTAAAATCTCTTCGTCCAATGGCTGATGAATAGCCCAAAAGATGGCGTCTACATCAGCGACTTTGTCCATGATGTCTTGTTTAGTAGCTCTTGGTTTCCTTTCTGTTATCACGATATCAAAACTAGGAGCAAAACGGTCCTGTTTCAATAAGATTAACTAACAGACTGATACTTTTGTATTATTTAAGTTAATCATCGGAAAATCAACAGTACTACATATGTGTGCGTAGATGTTTAGTAGCATCGACGCTCAAAATGAGTAGCTACTAGCAGCTACTAGGTAGTAGGAATATGTTTCATTACGTGCCGGTTATGTGTGTGGTCAAGTTTATCTTTTGCTTATGATAGTAGTGTACTATTAAGTAAGTATTTTGTATGAGTATGGTTCATTTATACAGCTTTATTAAAAATTCGTAAGTTAAACTGACTTACTGTCTCCTAAGAATATCTAAAGCTGAAGATGGAACATCATAATTTGTTACCAATACCTTCTGTCTTGGTGTTTCGCTGAAATCAAAATGGCTTCTTAAATAGATGTTTTTAACTTTTTAATTAGACTGAAATTACTAATACTTATAAACAAATACTTTTACAAATTAAAACAGTAAATGTAGGCATGTACTACACTTATAAATGCTTCACTCCAGCAAAAACTCTGTTTTGGAAAACAATTTTGTTTAACGATGCAATAGATATCGTTAGCAGTATACATGTAATAATTAGTCATTTTTTGCCTTAAATACATTTNTTTTACAAATACAAACAGTAAATGTAGGCATGTACTACACTTATAAATGCTTCACTCCAGCAAAAACTCTGTTTTGGAAAACAATTTTGTTTAACGATGCAATAGATATCGTTAGCAGTATACATGTAATAATTAGTCATTTTTTGCCTTAAATACATTTAAAGCTCAATAAGTTCAGCTTCTTTTATTCAATAAAAATAAACCAGCAAAGAAACGCACAATGTAACTGCGTAAAACTACAAAAACTTTATAGGTAGCATCAAGAAGGTCAATGACCTTACGTATATGAACATGGTGCTGTATGCCATGCTAACTTACCGTCTAATCAGTATTGAGGAAGTAAGAACGGATTCATTGCATTTATTTATTTTAATCAACCAGTGAATTAAAAGTATCTACTTAATTGTCATTCAACAAAACGAGTTAGTTTTAAAATAACACAATATATTATTNTCGGTTTACTCATATTGCTACTGAATGATCTAATTATAGTCACTGAACCTCCTCGAATAGGAGAAAAACACTGACACGTAGACCGTCGTGTCGGTGTAAAACTACTGCAAATCGTTATCTTCCACTTATTCAACGTAATCAAATGGGCTGAACGGATAAGGCGAAAAGTTCGCCTAACATAGAAATTACACATTTCGTTGTCTGAACTTCTTATGTCGCGCGAGCGAAAATTCATAATTTGGGAAGCATTGTAGGGGATATATTTCTTCAACTAATTTATCTAAAAATATCAGTCGTTTCTCTGAAAACTGACCGAATAATCAAAATCTTTTGTACAGAGCGTTAACACCTCTCAAAAGTATTAAATTGCATTCACTGGACTGGTTAAGTCCTGATAATACTGCTGTTTAATGATCGCGTATAATGGAATATCCCCGCCATTGATATATTATACAATAGTGGCGAGTTGTAAACCGAACATTAGAGATATTCTATTATATGCACTTTTTCATTTTTGCAAAAGTATTTTGATTGAATAAATTTTTCGTTTCTGGTGTTAAAGGTGCTGCGACAATGACAAAATCGCTGTCTCGGAGAAGTGTTTCAAATGGGACGAATTCTGCTCCCAGCTGCGCTGCTACAAGATTTAAGGTAGGAAAAAGATATAATTTAATAATTTTGTTTAAACATTTATTATTAGAGACAAATTCGGTAATATTTTTATTGGTTTTTACCTTCTGGTTTTTCACGGTGACCACAATATGTTATTCTGCTTACATCAAACCCTTTTAGCCTTTTGGCAATTGCTTGACCAATTCCTCCAAATCCAACGATACCAATTGTGGAATTTTTTAAGTCAGTACCTAATAAATATTGCGGGCGAAAGCCTTTCCAAATACCCCTAAAGAAAGTTTTATTCATTCCATTAAAAATTTTCAGTCGAGTATTATAGTAAGAATCTTAAATATTTTTTTCAACTTATTATTATTAGTGATCGAAAATGATCAGATTTCAATCGTTTTGGTGTTTTTCTGAAACGTTTTATAATTTCTGTTAATGTAAATGATATAAACTATTTTTAGTATTTGTTGTTTACGCATGGGATATAAATAATATTGTACAACTTTGCATTATCCATTACGTAACAACATTTTCGTCGTCAAAACGGATTAAGTTTAAATGTGGATCGCGATTTTGATCTTATTTGATGTCATCAGCACGCCGTACGAAATCTTGTCAAACCGAAAATACTCGACATAAGCATATTCATAATGTAATATCGATTTGTGGTCTTAATATTACACAAACGTACTTAAGTGGAACATCTTCAGTTTAGTAGGTGATTTATCGAGACTGCGTGTGACGTGTTGATGAAATTAAATCGAAATCACGATCCATTTTCGGGTGTTTCGATGAATTATTGACCAAAGATTTAATTTCTTCTTATTTATTAGTTTATCAGAGAGTAGAACTCAATTGGCTCTGTTTACGTATATAGGTGTTGCAAGTCACCGTTTCTATTAGGGCTAGGCTATTATTAAAAACAAACGGTAGTTGAGTAATTGATTAATCGAAATATTCGATTGTTCATTAGATTATTTTGATTAATAGCATAATTTACTTAGCCCTAGTGTGCCTACCAACACAGAGCTACAATAATGATAGAATATCTAAAGCTGAAGATGGAACATCATAATTTGATACCAATACCTTCTGTCTTGGTGTTTCGCTGAAATCAAAATGGCTTCTTAAATAGATGTTTTTAACTTTTTAATTAGACTGAAATTACTAATACTTATAAACAAATACTTTTACAAATTAAAACAGTAAATGTAGGCATGTACTACACTTATAAATGCTTCACTCCAGCAAAAACTCTGTTTTGGAAAACAATTTTGTTTAACGATGCAATAGATATCGTTAGCAGTATACATGTAATAATTAGTCATTTTTTGCCTTAAATACATTTAAAGCTCAATAAGTTCAGCTTCTTTTATTCAATAAAAATAAACCAGCAAAGAAACGCACAATGTAACTGCGTAAAACTACAAAAACTTTATAGGTAGCATCAAGAAGGTCAATGACCTTACGTATATGAACATGGTGCTGTATGCCATGCTAACTTACCGTCTAATCAGTATTGAGGAAGTAAGAACGGATTCATTGCATTTATTTATTTTAATCAACCAGTGAATTAAAAGTATCTACTTAATTGTCATTCAACAAAACGAGTTAGTTTTAAAATAACACAATATATTATTACACTATACTATAAATAACTGGTCTTATATGTACTATAAAAATAAATTGAAAATAATATTTCAAACCTACCTTTCTTTCTGGATTTTATATGTTTCTTCATTCCCTATAAAAAATAACAATTTGAATTTTTATAGCATGGTAGGTAAGGGTTGAGAAATATCTACTCAAAAGATAGGTAATGTCCTTCCTTAATACGGAATCAGTTATTTGAATACCCTGTAGATATAACTCGTTTATATGTTTTTGAAATGGTAGAAGTTACTTTCTTAGTTTTATAATTTTAGGTCCAATGGCCCATCTCCTTCATGGTACACATGAACAAACCTACCTTTATTATTTTATTGGTTTTGCTACAAATGTGGGCCCAATTAAAAAAGTTACCGATTACCTTGATTCCGTATTTTAATAATATTAATAATGTATTATCAATAATAAAAGACATAATTGTATTAAAGCCTTTATTTGCAATTAAAATTTAGCATCTACTTCACCACTTATTACAGATAGTTGATTGTATATGATAATTAAAAAACGGGCGTTAATAGGGGTTTCCCCTGAAGACCAAGAATAATATTGTCCGCTGCTAATTCTGCCAACTGCTTGCGGACACTAATTGTGGCACTGCCAATGTGGGGAGTTAATACTAGTAATCAAAATAAAACAATTTAATAAATTAGCCCATCACAATATGCCAATATCATTTTGGTAC